TCGAAACCCTGGTCGTACAGCCAGTACAGCTTGTCCGCCAATCTAGATTTTCCCGTGTCATTAAGGTGTATCCCGTCGTTGCCGAAATTCTCCCTCCCCAGGTGCTTACTTCTAAGGATTGCCACATTTCTTCCCGCGGTTCTTCTTCTAATGAATTTCTTCCCCATCCTTTTACTAACCTCCCTTACCTTTCTGTTAAAAGCCTCCCCCTTATCGAACCGCGGGAAGAGCTCCACCCACACAATGAACCCATGCCTACGAGTTGCCTCCGCTTTAACGTCTTCTATTTTCATTGCGTCAACTATTTCTTTGGAGCTCCGTTCCATATCTACGTCGTTTCCCCCCCCAATTATTACCGTTACGACTCGTCTTCGCGGCCTAGCTAACCTAATAACCTCATTAAATTTAGCCCCTGGGTTGCAGAATACTTTTAAGTCGGTACCCGCCCCCCTCTGATACATATACTCCCCCAACCACCTACCGTGCGAAGACGCGTGTATTTCCATTATTTAGCCCCACAAAAGAAAACCTGAAAACACTGACAAGTAACCTCCAATTATCCTTACTACTCCCTTACTGCCCTATTTCCATAATAACACTAAATGTAAAGAGAGAAAAAGCAACAACAGCAAAACACAGAAAGAAAAATCAATCAAAACTAGAACGGGCCGGAGGACTCCCGTAAATAGCCCGAGAAAAGAAACGAAACCCGAACGGAGCACGAACTGAGCAACGGTAACGGAATAAGCTCGGAGAACCGGGGAAATCGGGAGCGGAGCAGCACACGTCCTTCCTGCGCCGGAGTCCGCTGGACACTGGCGGTACTGACAGAGTGTAACTTGTTACTCCGTGCGCGCGCGTCCCCGTGTGACGTCACCCGCGTCACTCCCTCGCGTCGCTGTTCCTACATTGCGCGCCGCTCACTGCACCCGCTGTCCCACCTAGCCATGCGTGTTGTTTTGCCTTTTTACATTTTCCTATGTTTGACCTTACCCACCTATTTATCTCATCCCGGCCTGCTCTCAACAAGGCTACCCAAGCTTTAAGCAGGCCATCCTCCCCCCTTTCCTACCTTATCTACTCTCAGTTAATGTAATACCCTAGCCCGGCTTGCCTTCAACAAGGCTGCCCAAGCTTCCAGCAAGCCATCCTCCCCCCTTTTTCCTACTATTTATTATTGCTCCATTACTTAATGTTACTGTCACTCCCCAGCCTTGCCCACCCCGAGGGAGGTGAAGGAGGTTGCCCGGGCAATACTTTTTCCTGTTAGACCGAGCGTGTCTATTTTGCATTTTGAAGTTTTCCCAACTTTCCCTATCTTTGACCTTACCCGATTATTTATCTCTTCCCGGCCTGCTCTCAACAAGGCTACCCAAGCTTTAAGCAGGCCATCCTACCCCCTTTCCTAATGCTTACTTACGCTCTATTACTATCATCCCTGTCCCGGCTTGCCTTCAACAAGGCTACCCAAGCTTCCGGCAAGCCATCCTCCCCCCTTTCCTACTATATTCCCGGTCCGCTTTCAACAAGGCTGCCCAAGCTTCCCACGGACCGTCCACCCCCCTTTCCTACTTCCTTGTCAATTTTTTATTTATTATTATTTATTTAGTTAGATTTCTACTCCTAGCCCTTGTAACCTTACATTCTTACATTCTCCGGTTCCCCTCCCCCCCCCATCCTCTTAACCCTCCTCTCCTCATCCATTTTATCACACATAACTTTAAACCCCTTTCTAATTGCCTCATACACTTTCCTGTTGCTAAGATCTCTTTTATTCCCGACCCCCTCCAGTTTTTCCTCAATCCTATTCCTTTCCCCGATATATTTTGTACATTCCCAAACTACATGTTCTACACTTTCCTCAACTTGGCACTCTTGGCACACACCTGAATCCTCCTTCCCATGCTCAAACAAATATTTTCCCACACCTATATGCCCGGTTACATACCCCACTATCCACCTATCCACAATCCTTTTCTCCTTAGCCCATTCCTTAACACTAATCACCTTCTCTTTCAAACTAACATTTTTAACTCTCCCTATTTTCCTATCCATTTCCTCCTCCCCGTATTCAGTTTCCCATTCGTCCCATTCCTGCTCCCTTAACTCTCTCTCATACCCTTTAACAATCATTCTTCTCTCTTCTTTTGGTACCCCCTGTTCTCTCAGCTCGCATCTTCTCTCCTCTACCTTCCCTCTAATTCTTACGACCCTTTCTACTGGGAGCTTCCCGCAGAGGGCCACTAATGCGCCCCATGAAACCGTTCGGTACGCTGATGTTGTTGCTAATAGTGCTGCCCTCTGCGACGCCCTGAGTATTCTTTTGACATGTTTTTGCTCAACCCTCTCATGCCACACCCCTGCCCCATACAGTAAAATTGGTAAGTACGCCCCCTCATATATTGTATTCATAACCGAAAACCCCACTCCCCATGAACTTCTATTAACCCTTTTCATTTTGTTCATCATGGTTGTAGCCTTAACTGCCGCTTTCTTTACGTGTTTACCAAACAACCACGATTCGTCGATTTCCACCCCCAGATACACTATGCTATTCACCCATTCCATAATCTCTTCCCCTAACTTAACCACCGGCCTCCAGTCGCTCTTGTGTCTAATACATCCAACCCCCTGGATTACTGCCCCTTTCAATAGAACTCCCTTTGTTTTCTCGATCGACCATTCCAATTTTGCCCTATGTAACCACCCCCTTAAATTCTCTACTATCTCGTTTAACTTCTTTTCCAGCCTTTTCCTTGCATTCTCTTCCACCAGGATCACAATGTCATCTGCGTATGCTAAAATATGTACATTGTCACCGAATTCCCTCCTAAGCCAATCGTGTAGGAGGATTAGCCAAATGACTGGTCCCAAAACACTGCCCTGCGGACAGCCCTTCGCGACCAGCCACATGAATCTCTCCATCACCTTCCCTACCTTAATTTTCCTCCCCTCTAGATAATCCCTAATTAATTTGTAAATATTCCCCGGGCATTCAAACTCTTTAAGGACGCTCAGCACCAGGGGCGGCCACGCGTTGTCAAAAGCCCCCTTGACATCTACAAAAACCCCCGCTACGTAAGTTTTGGTCGATCCCTTCACTATTCTTTTAAGTTTGTGCAGCGCGTCCGCAGTCCCCTTCCCCGGCATGAACCCGTACTGTTTTTCATTAACTACGCCTTTTCCCCCCATCCATCTTCTAATTTTCCGTACGATTACCTTTTCAGCCAGCTTGCCGAGGACGGAGAGGAGAGTGATCGGCCTGTACGAGCCGACCTCGTCCGGGGGCTTCCCCCCTTTTAACAAGATAACCAATTTTCCCACTTTCCAGTCGCTCGGGAATTTTCCTGTCTTTAGCATTTCCTTAACGATCCACAGCAACTCTTCTCCTACTATATTCCATGACTCCTTGACAACTTTTACCTCGACTTCGTCCACCCCAGGGGCCTTCCCGTTTTTCATCTCCATGAGTCCCGCATAGAGTTCCTCTTCTTCAACTTCATAGTCTCCTTCTACTTCATCTTCTCTCTCGGCATTTTCCCTTATTGCTTTGTGCTCCTCGTTCTCGCCTTCCCTCCGATCTTCCGGAAACATTTTCTTACAGAGTTCCTGGAGTGTTTCCGTTATGTCCTTCGTTTCTCCCCCCTCCCTTTTCCCCACCGCACTTATAACAGTTTCCGTTTTCATTTTGCCTGTTTGCATTTTATATATCACACTCCACGGATCCTTCCCTCCCACCTCGGTTACGAATTGCTTCCAGCCCTCATATCTCTGCTTGGCGATCAGGTTTTTGAACTCCCTTTGTTTCCTTTTAAGTTCATATTTCCTCTTCATCTTTTCCCTTCCCTGCGCCTTTTGATATTCCCTCCTACATTTTCTTACCTCCCTCTTCTTCTCATTAAGTACCTCGTTCCACCATTTTACCCCTCTCCCATTACCCCTATTCTTTCTCCCGCACACCTTTTCACTTGCCCTAACTATTATCTCTGTTACTCTCTTGACTCTTTCTTCTAATTCGTTTTCCCCCTTGCTGCACTCCCCTCTTCTACTCCATTGCCAATCTAACTCCCTCCTGTACTCCTCCCAATCTACTTCCTCCGTCCTTATCCTACCTTTCCCTAATTCTATTTCCCCTCCTTCCCACTTAAGAGTCATTTCTATAGTGCGATGATCTGCGAGTATCAGTCCATGTTCATCCTTGTGGACCACCCATTCTACCAATTCTATCATTTCCTCAGTCCCTAATGTTACATCCACATTACTTTCTTTACTTGGGATGTGTCCTCTGTAGGTTTTCGGAAATCCCCCTTTATTTATCACACATAGTTCCTTCTCCAATATGAACTCCTCTAGGAGGTCCCCCCTTTCATCGTTTTTCCCACTAAACCACCAGTCGCTTTTCGCGTTTGCATCCGCTCCTATAATGATCCTTTCCCCTACGAATTTTTCCACTATTCCCTCTAACTCGTTTATACTGCCTTTCATTAACTCTTCGTTCTCTCTTTTCCTCCTACTGGCTGCCGACTCGCAGTAACTGCTGACACAGACCAACCTCTCTCCCCCCGCCTCAACGACCGCTACTGCCGTATCTTTATTTGTACACCTCGCCACCTTTAGTACGTCCAGGCTGCCATCGTACACATAAATGGCTGCCCTGACCCTACCCCCGTCCCTGTCATCATATACCGTTCTGACCCCGACCCCCGCAGAGACCGGTAGTCCCGTTTCCGGCCTTGTATAGGGTTCCTGCACAAGAGCGACCTGGACCCTGTTTTTGACACACCATTCCCTGAATTCGTCCATCCCCTCCTTATTTTTCCCTATATTAACTTGTATTATTTTTAACCCCTTCGCTTTTTTCCCAGAGTTTCCAACTTTCCCTATGGTATCACTTCCTTTACGATTCATACCCCGTAATCCGTCCTTCTAACAATCCATTCCATTTCCCTGATTAATGACGGGCATCCGTGGTCAAAAACATCGTGGTCCGCCCTTATTTTTTGACTACTGCAACATGGGCATGTGGGGGCCGCCACCTTGCAGTCCGCCCTTCTATGCCCAGTCTTCCCGCACCACGAACAGACCTCCTCCTTTTCCCCGCACCTTTTTGCAGGGTGCCCAAATTTGTGGCACTTGTAGCACCTAAGGATGTCGATGTGATCCCACACACGACATCCGTTATATGCTACAAATACCGTACCCATATCTAAGATTTGTTGCCGCAGTTGCCCTGATACCTCCAATATCCAGGTTGCGAACTTTTCGTTTCTCGTTTTCTTTTTAATCCCTTTCCCAACCGCCTTTTTAAAAACTTCCTTATCCCATCCCTGAAAGTTCTTACTTCTGATTTCCTCAATCAATTCCTCCTCTTTTATATCCGAGTCCACCCCGTTGATCCGGACCATGGGCTTCTTGTCCTTCACCTCCCTCATAGTCAGTTTCCCCTCCCTGATAACTGGGATCTCTTTCAACCTCCTGTTTACCTCCTCTTCCGTACCTTTCACTGTTAGTATGGCCCCCGTTTTCGTTTTGGCCAGCCCTTGCACTCTCCAGCCTTGGTCCTTGATTATATCCTTGATCTGCTCTTTCACTTTATTTCCATCAGGATCGCTGGCGTCCTCAAGGATGATTTTTACGTCGTCCTTCCTCTCCTCTTGCTTGTGCCTCACCATTTGGCTATATGAATTTTTAATACTCGGTTCTCTGGGCAATGTTCCTATTTCTTCAGCCATTTCCTTCTGTTTTCTCTCTATTTTGGTTAGTTTTTCCCCCGTGTTCCTCATGATATCAACTGCGTCTTGGATCCCTTTCAACTTCTCCGCTAAAGTGTCCACACTGCCCTCGGGCAGTGTCCCGGCCATGCATTTTATTCCCTCTACCTTCTCCGCAAGCCTCCCCAATTCCTCCCTTGTCTCCCTCTGAATTTTCTCCATCTTTTCCATCTGCCTTTCAATGTCTTTCACTGCCTGTTTCCTCTGCTTTTCGCTACTCTCCGCTTTAGTAGCCATATCTTTTATAATCCCTTCTTTTTTAGTAATCGCCTCTTTCAATTTTTCCATTTCCTTTACCTCTGTACCTCTGTTTTTCTCTCTGGCTTCTTCACAGGCCACCACCTGAGTTATCTTGTTGCCCATCTTGGCCATTCTTTCCATTAGTTCCGCATAATGCAATTTTTGGTGCTCGGTGTTTTCCTCCACTGTCCTCTCGATTTGCCTTTTCCAAACTTCTAGCTGATTCATCACTTCACTCTCCACATTTGACCTCGCTTCATTGGCTATCTCTAGGGATTCCTTCATGGTTTTGACCATGGTGACCCCTACCCCCTCGAGGACCGTTTGTTCCAATCTTCTAGCAATTTTTTCCGCTAATAACTCTGTGTCCTCAAACCTATTCCTCAATGCCAACCCTCTTTCCGCGACCACAGTGTCGGCCGTTATGCATCTAATCCTATCGTCCTGTATCCTCCACTTTGCTATGTCTTCCTTTATTCTGTGGTGAATGCAACTTTTAGTTTTTTGGGCCTTCACATACGCTAGTAACTCGTCCTCAACCGCTCTTTTGGCCTCCATTGCCTCGTCGAATCCCACTGGCAGGTCATCCTTATCTATTGCAAATCGTTTTACTGCCCTTCTCTCTTTTTTAGGAGTTGGCCTACCACTGGAATCTGTACTGAGCGAGTGGGACCTCTCCCTTTTCCATCCTTGTGGGGATGGGAAGGACATAACCGGTGCCCCAGTTAGCATGTCTCCACTGCCTTGTATCTCATTATCATCCAGCTCAATACCCTCCATTTCCTCCATATCCTTATCCTTTAACTCTTTGCCTTCATTTCCGTCCTTTCCTACTCCTTTTAACTCCTTGGGGTCCGTTACATTGTCCTCAGACTTCCCATCCTTTCCAGTTGGGGCCTTCTCCTTTTCCTGTTTCTCCTTATATGCCTTCAGAAATTTTGTTATCTGTTGGCTCGTAACATCCGTCATTTTAACTTTTATTTTCTTACTGCTCTCCGCCGTCCTTTCCCCGCACTCCGAACTATCCGCTTTATCCGTTTTATCCGTTTTTTCCGTTTTTTCCGTTTTTTCCATATTATCACTGTTTCCCGATTTCTCCTCAACTCCTTCCAGTCCCGTATTTTCCGACCCTTCCGATCTCTTAGCTCCGCTCTGGTCCTCCTTATCCTCCCCTCTCGGGTCTCTATCCATGTTTATCCAGGTACCTTATGTCAGTTTATACTTAATTTGGGCCTAACCCCTTTTCCCTGCAATTTTTAATTTTTCACTAAAATTTACTATTTAAACCTTCAATTTGAATCTCCCGCTATTACCCTAGTTTGAATATACCGCCTCCCTTTTAAATTTCCCGCCTTTTACAACTTTGTCCACTTTATACCCCAAACCTTACCCGTGTACGGAGCGGCCGGTTCCGCACATGGGTCTGAAATCAAAATTTTGTGGACAACCCAAAATTACGTAATCCCAAAATTTTGGGGGGGGAGGGTCCCGCTATCCCAAAACGGAAGCTTAGGCCCTCCTTAACCTTTCTGCCTCAAGGGCTAAGCCCCCAAACTAAAATTTTCCACTCCGCAAAAATAAACAAAAAATTTCAAAAAATTCTTGGCAAACACGCAATAATATGGCAACTAGGCGCAGTTGCCCTTATTGAAACGCCTTTTCGTATCCCTAGGGAGACAAAAGAAAACAAAAGGAAAACCGCACTTTACCAATCCACTAGACAACGCCAAAACGAGCTTCCGAGGATCACCACTAGATG